CAGCACACCAGGCTTCCCTGTCCTTCACTATCTCCTGGAGTTTGCTCAAACACATGTCCACTGAGTCAGTGATACCATCCAACCATCTCATGCTCGGCCATCCCCTTCTCCTCCTGCCTTCAGTCTTTCCCAGAATCAGGGTCTTTTTCAATGAGTCTTTTCCTGGTGCTGCTGTTAAACTCCTCCACAGCCCACTTGCTGCCCATCTGAGGATTCTTTATTACTTGTTGTTTTGGCTTCTCTTTAACATCTGTCCACTTGTCCTCTAATCCCCTTCGTTTCCCTGCCACCGCACTCTCCAGCTTCTCCTCCTCTCTGTGCTGCTTCTTCTCAGCCTTTCCCTGGGCTCCTCTGCCCCTGGCCACTCAGGAAGTTTGCAGTGACTCAGCATTCTGTTCCGACCCTCCATTCTTTTCACTCTCTCTGTTCCTCTGGGCAGTTGCATCCTCCCCATGACTTCAGCCACCACCTCTATGCAAATAATTCCAAATCCAATGGTGTCCTGGGCTGGCTTGGATCAGCTTGTAAGAACAAAGTTTTAGGAATTTTGTGAGCCAGACATTAAAGTCATTATTAAAAATTAAATAAACTTATGGTTATATAAATATATTTAAAACAAAGATAATAAGCACTTAAAACATAGCTTCCTAATTATTTTACTATTATCTATGCTTTGCAGATTATTTTATATCTATTTTACCTGAATGGTGGAAATGCTGTATAAGGGAGTGTTACCGCATGTCTCTTCCCAACTCTCTGCTCAGAGACATCACAGTGACAGCTTGAAACAAACCACAGGGGTAGAATTTACACCACGGGTATGGACAAATGTTACAAGGTGCTTCTCTGCTTGGAAAGCCATGTATTAAAGACTTCCCAGTACACCATGGCCCAAATGAATACCTGAAGCCAGCATGGAGGAGCTTCCTAAGTTCCGGGCTCAGATAACGCTTGGCTGCACACCTTGTCCAGCTCATCTATCAGGCACAGCACATTCGGTGTGCCCTAAACAAGCTCACCCTCCAAAGCTGCCCCAACCCTCAATACCTATTTCCTTTTCTGCAGCAGCATCACTCACCCCATTGTCCAAGCCAGAAACCTGGGGATCTTCCTGAATTCGGTCCACTTCCTCTTCCCAATATCCAATAAGTTACATCCAAAATGATGCTCAGGTCCCCCCTCCAGTCCTGTTCCAGACTCACTGAGGCTTCCCTCCTCTAGGCTTTATCATTCTTCCTATGGATTCTGCCTCAGGTCCCTCATTGCTCTTGCTGCTTCTAGCAGTATCCCCCTCCAACCCACCTCCATTTGGCCCCCATAAAATGCAGATCTCATTTAGGTTTCTCTTGGGCTTAAAATCCTTCAGTGACTTACCAATTCTTACAATAGGAAGATGATACCCTTCGTGTGGTCTTCTTTCTCTCTTCTTCCTCTCTCCTTCCTATTGCTTGGTCCTTCCTCATCTGACATTCAGGGAATCTTAGTCAAGAGTCACAAACATCCCTTCTTGGCTTATTAACCAGATACGGAGTTTATTAGCCAGTGGGCAGCTCAGAAACTTTCCTGGAAGGCCAGAGTCCCCTTGGAGACCAAGCAGCCTGGAATGATGCCCAAATCACATCATCAAGTAGTCCCAGGAAGACTCCCCAGTTGCTACAGCTGAGCACAGACAGTACAGCTTGCCCTGTTGGTGCTAGGTGCTCCCAGAAGCAGTGTCACAGCTGCCCCTGGTCCCTGGCAAGAACTGCCAACACCGCTTGTCTTTAACTAAGCAGACTCTCCTCCTTTGCTGCTTCTTCCTGGCACTAGGTTCAGGTTCCAGGTCTGGAGCTGGGATGTCTGGAAGCATGTCCTGGAAGCAAGGAAAGCTGGGAAAGCATTGTCAGCTCCTAGATGGGGAGGAGCGGAATCCCACAGACATAGGAGGGAGGCAGTTTCAATGCTGAGAGGCCAGCAATAACAACAGTTGTCCCCCATGCTAGCTTTAAAATTACACAAGTAAAACACTCTACAAGGTGAAATAATCAAACAGCACAAGAATGAAAGTGATGAAATGTACAAGCTTCTTTCCTTGAGTTCTCTCAGTCCCATTTGCCAGGGTCAACTACTGTTAACAGTGTTTTGGAAGTTCTTACAGGTGTGTTCTTTGTATATCCAGATGTCTGTATTTATATTTAAGATGTCTGTATATAACTGTGTGACTGCAAATGCTTTCTTTGTGTCAAAATTGACTAGCTCCATAAGAAAAGGGAACCCTCCTATACTGTTAATGGGACTGTAAATTGATTAAGCCAATATAGAAAACAATATGGAGGATTCACAATAAAGTAAAAATAGAGTTGCCATATGATCCTACAAACCCACTCCTAGGCATATATTGAGAGAAAACTATAATTCAAAATGATACATCCACCCTAATGTTCATAGAAGCATTATTTACAATAGCCAAGGCATGGAAACAATCTAAATGTCCAGTGACAGATGAATGGACAAAGATGTTGTGGTACATATATACAATGGAATATTACTCAGCTATAAAAAAAAACAATAAAATAATGTTGTTTGCAGAGATATAGATGGACCAGGAGATTATCATACTAAGTGAAGTAAGTCAAAAAGAGATAGACAAATATTATATGATATCCTTAAAATATAACATAAATGAACTTATCTATGAAAGTGAAAGTGAAAGTTGCTCAGTCATGTCTGACTCTTTGCAACCCCATGGACTTTACAGTCCATGGAATTCTCCAGGCCAGAATACCAGAGTGGGTAGCCTTTCCCTTCTCCAGGGATCTTCCCAACCCAGGGATCAAACCCATATCTCTTACATCTCCTGCATTGGCAGGTGGATTCTTTACCAGCTGAGCCACAAGGGAAGCCCAAGAATACTGGAATGGGTAGCCTATCCTTTCTCCAGCAGATCTTCCTGACCCAGGAATCAAACCAGGGTCTCCTGCATTGCAGGTGGATTCTTTACCAACTGAGCTATTAGAGAAGTCAATAAATAAAGTCACAGTCATAGAGAACAGATTTGTGGTTTCCAAGGGGGCAGGGAGTGAGGGAGGGATGGATTGGGAGTTTGGGATTAGCAGATGCAAACTATTATATATATTAAATGGGTAAACAATAATGTCCTACTGTATAGAACAGGGAATTATATTCAATATCCTGTGATAAACCATAATGGAAAAGAATATAAAAAAGAATATATATATGTATAACTGATCACTTTGCTCTACAGTAGAAATTAACACATTGTAAATCAACTATATTTCAATAAAATAATTTTTAAAAAATTAGTTAGCTCCACACATTAGAGTTTGGTACCTTGGCTTCTCTCACCTCACACCATGTCTTATACTCCTATATCAATGCACATGGGTCTAACCCATCCTTTCTAATGACAGCATTGCACTGGGTGGATGAACCATAATTAACTAGCCAGTCCTCTACAGATAGACATTTAGATTATTTTCAGTTTGTTGCTACAATAAACTATGCTGCAGTGAAAATCCTTTCACACATGTCTTTGTGTGCTCATGAGAGTAGAGATCCAAAGGATGAATTCCTGGAAGGGGAACTAACTGTTGGCTCTAAAGGAACATGCATTTATGTCTTTGGTAAACATTGCCAAATTGTCTTCCAAAAAGCATGTGCCAGTTTGCAGCTCTACCAGCAATCTGTGAACAATTTTTTCCAGGCCCTGCATAGTCTGGCTCCTGGCTGCCCTCTCACCTCATCATCTGACACTTACACACCTTACATTTCCAACCATAGTGCCTTTGTGGATGCTATGTCCACAATCCAAAATGTCCTTCCTCCCTTGTCTTCCAGATGAAATTCCACAAGGCCCAGCTCAGATGTCACCTCCTCTGTTCAGCCCTACCTGACTCCGTTGAGCTGTCAGAGACCCCTTCCTCTGGTATCCCACAGCTTCCTGGGCATAATTCTGTCATACACCAACTAAGGACCTATGTGTGACTGGCACTCTAGGGCCATTTTGACAATCCAGACCATAACCACAGAAAAAAGGATCATGTGCACCTACTTCTCCTTCCCTATTGTTTCTTCCGCTACGTTGTGTTTTATCTGTTCCGAAGCACAGTCCTGCCTCGGGCCTTTGCACATACAGTTCCCTCTCTATGGATCTTGCCCTTGAGCATCCTGGCCTTGGTGCTTTTCTGGGATCTCTGCTCCCATTCACCTCCTCACAGAGGCCTTCCCTGACCACCAAATCTCAAGCACCCCTACTCTAGTAACCCTTGTCCATCTCCATTTTAACATCTCCATGACTCTTATCACAAGCTGAAATAACCTTTGGTTTAAGCTTTGATGTTTATTTTCTGTCCTGTGTCCCGTCTCTGCACACGCACAAATTCACCACTGCAAACTCCCCAAGAAGGAGGGGTCTAGTTTTCTTTTTGTGCGGTCTCCAGTCTCAAATCTGCCTGGTACCTAAGAGCTCAGTAAACGTTCGCTGAATGAACCATCCATATTTTACAGAAGAGGAAACTGACATTCAGAAAGGAGAGCTGAGTATCCCAAGGTCCCACAGCTAATAAAGACCTCCAAACCCATCTGAACACTAAAACCAACTGCAGTATTTCTCCCATACTCTCAGCACGCCGCATTGTATCTCCCACCAGACTAGGTTCCTGGGGGACAGGACTTAAGTCCGATGACGCTCCGGGGTCCCCAGCGGCGTGTTCCGGGCCCGCCCCGTGAGGCTAGCGGGCTCCGCGGAGATGTCACCCTCCCCGCCTCCTGTCAGTCAGGCCGAGGGGGTGGCGCGGCCGCCAGGGGGGGCGCTGAGCTCAGAGCTGCCGCAGCGCCCCAGCCGGAGCAGGAGCGCGCGAGACAGCAGGGCGCTAGGAGCGAGCGGCGGCTGGCGAAGCACTCCAGGCCCGGGCTCTACTTCACCTCGGCTCAGGGCTCGCGCCTCGTCTGCTGCAGACCAGCCTGAACGCCTGGCCACGGCAAGATCCGCCCGAGCCCACCCCGGCCCAGCCCAGCCGAGCCCGTGCGTCCGCCTGCCGCAGCCTCTGCCGCAGCCGCCACTCCATCCCCAACCCGGGCCCCGCATCTAGGTGAGGCGGCCGCGCTCCAGGCGCCCCGGGCTGAGGAAAAGGGGGAAGGTCTGGGAATGGAGTGGAGAGAGGACGGGGTGGGATGGGGAAGGGGCTGGAGAACGTAAACAGGACGCCAAGGGGTGCGTGTCCGTGTGCGATCCGGGATATGGATCTCTCTTACTTGGTGTCTGCAACTGCCTGGATGGCCGTGTGGACGTGCGCCCGCGCCCGTGTGCCCCGTGGTGTGCCAGCGTGTCCGTGCGCGTCAGAATGTCGGAGGGTCCTGTGTCTGCACGTGAGCGTGTCCAAGGAATATGTTTGTTTGCATGGCCGTGTGTCTGTCGCGTGTGTGCAGGCAGGCCCCCCGGGCTTCACGCCGTGCCCAGCACTTCGCTTCCGCGGGGCTGCAGGTTGCAGGGCCCCGGATAACCGAGGCGGGGGGCCCCTCCTGCGTCCACGGGTTTCAAGGACGCTAGGACTCGCCGCGGCCCTGTGGCCTGGCGCTGGGGAAGGGAGTAAGGTGGGAGGAGGTTCTGGCCCGAAGGGCGCCTTCGGTCTCAGGGGGAGGGGATGGGACACCTGCGGTCTCTGCACAAGGGCTGGGGTGAGGATGCGGGCGAACGCACCGGTGCCTGTGTGTTCGTCCTCCCCAGGCCGCGAGGATGGACGTGTTCATGAAGGGCCTGTCCATGGCCAAGGAGGGCGTCGTGGCCGCCGCGGAGAAAACCAAGCAAGGGGTCACCGAGGCCGCGGAGAAGACCAAGGAGGGTGTCCTCTACGTCGGTGGGCGAGGGGCGGGGCTCCCGGGGCTGCGAGGTTTGGGTGTCCTCCGAGGGGACAGAGCCGAGGTCCTTAGAGCGAGGAAGTGGGGGGTCTGGGCCGGAGAATATGAGTCAGCAGATGGGGCCGGGTTAGCAGGGGTCACTGAGGACAGAGCCAGCTGATGGAAACCTGGGTCAGTGATGACACCGACGGTAAGGGGGAATGGAGGAAGGGCTGATGAGGGTGGAGTTCAGCTGAAAGTCCAGAGAAGCAAGGCAGGAGTCAAAGGAGATAGCCTTCTTCAGCTGCTTCTTCCCATTATTAATAGTTACCTGGTGTTGAACACTTACTGTCTGCCAAGTACAGTGTGAAATACATCTGCAACATCTATTACTTCATTTAATGCTCCCTGCCCATCCACAGACCAGGGAAACCCCCAGCTTCCCAGAGCTTTAATTATCTTGCTCAAGGTCACAGCTGATAAGACTTGAAGCTGAAGTTTGAGCCAAGTTTTATGGATTCCAAAGTGTCCCCCTCCCCTTACCACTCTCCTTCCTGTATTGTTGGGGCTCCCTCCCAGCACTGCTCTCCACCTCTGAATCTCTCCTCCCAGTGGTTCCACCATTGGCACCTCTCCTTCGGGTCTACCGTCCTTGCAACTGCCAGCTGTCATCAGAAAGGCCAAGTGGTTAAAATATCTCACTCTAAGTGGGAAAAAAAAAGAGAGGGAGCCTTCAGGGTCATTTGCATAAAGGGAGGCAAGAAACTCTGCATTCAGTCTGCCGATTCAGGGCTTACTTTTGTGTGATAGAATTATCTTCTATGCAAGCTGCAGAGGGTTGGCTAACCTGCCCAGGGCTGTGGCAGATTTGGAATGGTGGTAATTTGAAAAATACTTATTGATCACCTACTCTGTGCTGGTAGGTGCCGGCTCTGCTGATGGTGAGGTCAAGTATTCTAGTGTCGGGCTTTGACATCCAGTGGCTGGGGTTGGGAGCCACTTTGGTAATCAAAGAGGGTAGCATTTGAGCTGAGCCCAGAGAATAAGGAGGGTTAGGAAGGGAGGTGCAGAAAAGACAGGTGCAAAGAGCCCTGGGATGAGGTGAAAGATACTGGGTTTGAGAGCAGAGGGGAGCAAGCAAGGGTAAGAAATGAGATCAGAAACAGCCAGTTCATGAGGGGCCCTTGCAGGCAAAGCATTAGTATGACTGCCCTGGCAGACTGTGAGCCAGGGACCGACATGATCTGGCTTCAGTATAGAGAAGTCCCCTAGCACTCTGGGGACAGAACAAATTACAGGGAGGCCCGCTGGGAGGTAACACAGCCACGAGATGAGGGTGGTTAGAGCCAGGGCAGAGGTGATGGAGACTGGGAGAAGGCTTGAGCCCACAACTTCTGGACCCTAGCTCTGGCCTCCTCCTCCCTCAGCCCTTTCACTCCTGTGGACCGCTGACATCCCTGACACTGTCTCCCTGCTAACAGACTCAACAACCACCTCCTTTTCCCCCAGGTTGGCACCTCCTGCTCCTTCCCCTGAGCAAGAACTCCTGATGGTCCCCGGCTCCTACTCATCAAAGCTTCAGCTCCCTATAGCCTAGCATTTAACCTGCCTCGTGGTTCCATCCTAGTCTCCATCACTCTGAGCACACAGACCATGTCAACGTGCTCCATGCAGACCCTAAAATCACACCTCTCTAGGCCTCGCCTACATGGTTCCCTGTCCCTAGAACACCCTCCTCAGTCCTGTTTCTGTGTATCCACTGCTCCCCATTTGTCAAGACCTGGGAAAAGCCCCCTCCCCCATCCTGCACCCCCAGAAGGCCAAAACTTCCTCTCCCCACTACTTTGAAGTCCAGGGCACCAACTTTCCTCTTCTCTGTCCCTCATCTGACAGTGAGCCATCAGCCTGGGCCTTGAATCAGAGAAGGTGCCAACAAGAGTTTGTGCGAGGAATAAATAGAAGTGCTTGCACAACCCCCCTTCCCCATCCACCGGTCTCTGGATGTGGCTGGCCTTAGTCCTGAGAAGCCCATCCACCTGCACCCTCCTCCTGCCAGCCTCAGCTGGCCCACACTCCTGTTTCTGGCTCTATTAGCTATTGTCTGGGTTTCGAGATCCTCAGGATTGGAGACATCCCACTCTCCCAAGGGTTCCCACCCCCACCTCAGGACAGGCTCTCTTGCCTTTCCCAGTTGCTACCCTCCTGGGAAGACCCAGCCAATGCCGTGGCTGTCAGTCATCATGTTCACGTCATCCTTAGACCCATCCTGCATCTAAGACACTTCCTACTTTGGCCAGAAGAAGAGATTTGCACCGTATTTTAAAGAAAGTCTTAAGAAATGGAGCAGGGGATGTGGGGATGTGGGGATGTGACTGTACTGGGGCAGGATGTGGGCAGTTGTGCACCAGAGGCACCTTTCCAAAGACAGAATCTTTCCGCCCCACCCCCAGGTCCACCCCCACCCCCACCTGCTCCCATCCAGGGCAGAGGATTAAATGAACCAGCAGGCAGAGTGCTTTCCCAGTGCTGGATCGTGGGCAACATCCAGCGGAGGGTGGGTGGGCCAGGGCACGGGGGTCGGGGGAGGGGATCAGCGGGGCTGGGACAGACAATGGGGAGATCTGGATGTCCAGATGACGCAGGCATGGAAGGGGGCACTTGTGGGATCTGGGGGCCCAAGAAGGCAGGGAAAGACCAGGATGCCCATGCTGCCTGGGTCCCTCTGCCCGCTCTCTAACCACTGTGCTTGCTGGCAGCTGTTCCCTCGGCCCTTAAGCGTGCTCCGTTTTGTCTCCACAGGAAGCAAAACCCGAGAGGGGGTGGTACAAGGAGTGGCCTCAGGTACTAGCCCAACCCTGCCCAGCCTTGTTCCCTCGCCCTGGCCTGGGGTCTGGCTGACATCCAGAGAGTGGGGGGAGAGGGCGGTGGAAGAGGGTACCCCCAAAGCTTTCCGGGGGGTGTAGTACTCTGTGGGAAATCAGGCCCTGGGACACTACAGAGGAGGAGGGCATCTATGTCTGCTTGACCTTTGCCCCCAACCATCTCCCTGACGCAGTGGCTGAGAAAACCAAGGAGCAGGCATCACACCTGGGAGGAGCCGTGTTCTCTGGGGCTGGGAACATTGCAGCAGCCACAGGTCTGGTAAAGAAGGAGGAGTTCCCCGCTGATCTGAAGGTGAGCTATCATTCCAACACACACACACACACACACCAGGTACACCCATAAATCTGCCGCCAGGCTCCCTGCTCCCCCAGCCAGCCTGGGGCACAAGCCACCTTGCCTAACATTCTTCAGGGCCCAGCTAGACACAGCTCGGCATGAGTCTGCATGTAGCTGTGTGCGGGCATGGCACGCCCCGTGACTGTGACCCAGATCTGGATTGGATACGTGTATCCTGCTCGTGAGTGTGATCTGGACTGCTTTTGGCCTCATCCACATATGTCACTGATTGTTCGCTCTTGTCTTTTCAGTCAGCAAGTATTCATGCCAGGGAGGGATTGTTCTAGGGGTTACCACAGTGAATAGGTTCCTACATTCACGGAGCTGACTCTGTAGTGGGAGAAGATACAGTAACCAGCTAACCAGTACACAAGATGATTTCAGACAGGAATATGTGCTATGAAGAAAACAAGAGCGACGGGATAGAGAGTCAAGGGGTGAGGGGCTACTTCAGTTGGGAGGGCTTCTTTGAAAAGGTTAACATTAGAACTGACACCCAAGTGATGAGGCACACGATGTGCGAAGTCTATTTCAGGCAGGAGGAACAGCACATGCAAAGGCCCTGAGGCAGGCATGAGCAGAAGTGGGCCATGGGGAGGGGTGAACTGTGTCTCACACATTTGTGCAGACATGTTACCCCAGGCAAGTGGTGGCAGCAACCCATGTGTGCACGAAGTCAGATACCTTCCTTAGGACATGCTTCAGGGTAAGAGCTGTGAGCTCTGGAGCCCCACAGAGCTGGATCTGAATCTCAGCTCCATTGCTTCTTGACTCTCTGGCCCTGGGCAGGTCCCGTCAAGTCTCCGAGCCTGATTCTTTGCCTCTAAGACAGGAGATGAACACAAGAGGACTTTTGTGTAGATTAGAGACAATGTAGCTTAGAGGTGTTCAAAACCCTAAGTGTGCATCAGATCACCAGGAGGCCAGGTTGAAATACAGACTGTTGGTCCTATTCCTAGAATTTCTGATTCAGTAGGTCTGAGGTAGGGCTAGAATGTGCATTTCTAAAAGGTATCTGGGTGATGTTGATGCTGCAGGTCCAGGGATCACACCTTGAGAACCACTGATGTAAAGAGCCTGGATTGGCATAGAGTGAATGCTCAGTAAGAGATGATGGCCCCACGATCACATGATCAGCCTGTGTGTGCCCCCAGGGGCTTGTGTCATAGGTGTGCTAGGACGCTGCACTCTGTGGATCTATACACCATCTGCACAGACATGCCTCCGGTGCGGTACCCCATGTTTTCCCCGTACAAATGCCTAATCTGCCTCCATGGGGGCGGGGCCTCCATCCGTGTGATCTCGGCATGAGCGGATCCATCGACTGGGCGGGGGGAGGAGACCACACAGCACCCTCCGCTCTAGACATTCTGCTCAGCTGGTTCCTCCCCTCAGCTCAGAAGTTCTGGTTCAAGTCCTGTCTCTGCATTTTACCAGCTGTGTGACTTCCCATTTCTTATCCTTGTTTCTAGTGATCACTCCTATTCATTGATCTCTTGTGTGGGCAGGTGCTGTTCTAAAGATTGTACATGGAGTCACTCAATGAATCTTCATAATGTCCCTATAAAATAGGCATCACAATTAGCACATCTTAGAGGTAAAAGAACTGAGACTCAGAGAGGTGAAGTGACTTACTCAAGATCCCAAATCCTGCCTGCCCCCCTGAGAAGGTAGTTGGGAGGTGCTAAGCTCAGGTTCATGTCATTGTAGTCCCTTGATGCCAACATGGGACCAGGCCCAGTACTGAGAGCTAGGGTGCAGAGAAGGCAGAGCTGTCAGCTTGAGGCTTGGTGAGGGGGCCTTTGCACACAACCATTTTTCTCAGGCTGCCTTCCTCTTACCAGCACTTGTTGACATTTCAAACCTCTTCTCTCAAGAGAACTCAAGATCATAGACTTACAATCCAAAGCCAGGCCTTTGGGGCCACTGGGCCCGTGGAGAACTCATGCAAGCTAAGCGTGTGAGTTTCTGTCTCTACCTCTCAGCCTGCCAACATATAGATAGTATTGTGGACGCCTCCCCATATGCCTACAAAGCAAAGATACCATCCCACTTCCCATCCGAGGCAGCTGAGATCAGAGGTGAAACAACTTACCTGATGCCAAAAGGTAGTGAATAGCAAGGCTGGAGTGGTTTTTAAGTGAACTTCTTACTGAAGTACATTATGCTGAAAACATTCATACAGAAAACACTCGGATCCATGGAATTTTCACAAATCAACTCTCCCCAGGTAACCAAGCACCCAGATCAAAACACAAAACACAAGACATAGCTCGTTAGAAGCCCCCTTTACACTCCCTCCCACCCCTACTCCCAGGGCTAAGACTAGGGTGAGGGAAGTGAAGTGCCTGGGGCACAAAATTTAAGGGGGCGCTTATTCCAGGGTCTCATTTACATCCCAGGCACCTGACTCTCCTCACCTTTGTCCTATCCCCCTCCACAGTTAATTGCTTCTATCACCACAGATTATCTGAGTGTCTTTCAGCTTCATGTAAACCTTATCCTAAAGCACATGTTCTTTTGTACCCGGGTTCCACTCATCAGTAAGAAGGGGAGTCGACCACGCCTTGGTGTACACTGGGTTTCCCCATCCTAGACATGCAGTACCCTCTGTGTGACAGGACCACAGTGCACACATCCATTCTCCTGCTGTTGGATATTTTTTTCCAAACAATTTGCAGAGCTGGGATTCTTTGCATTCTGTTTCTTTCCTGGGTTCTGGTCATAGCTGGGTGACTTTGGGCAAGCTAACATTTCCCCACTTCCCAGGCTGTGATGGACTCCCCTGGAACTAGGGGAAGTGAGCTCAGCCAGGAGTGTAAACTCATGTGGTCACAGGGCCCACCTAGACAGGTAATGTGAAGGAGTTGAAGCTGCCTGGATGGAGCTGGAGTAACAAGAGCGCCGAGGTGCCAGCCCTCATGGGTCCCAAGATTCTTACCTCTGCCCAGTAGGGAGGGACAGTGGTTACATGTGCAAGTGGGGGACATGGTGGGGCCCCTTGCCTACAGAGCATGAACCTCAGGTTACTGTGTGCACCCATGTGTGCAGTCAGCTCAGTCTCGTGTTTGTGCACACATATGTGCTCGCTCACAGGGGACTGGCCATGTGTCTGGCAGCCCCCTATTTGCATGTATGCTGGCCTGCACAGGTCTGGGCAGCAGATGCTGTGGGGAGGGGAGAGTCTTAGCTCACACATCCAAGCAACACCATGAGCTGTTGCTTCCAGCTTATCTTAAAATAGCAACAGCTGAAGAAACCAGGCCACACAGGGCCCTGGGGGAGGGATGGGTGGAAAGTGGCAGGGGAATGGCTCAGAGCCCCTGCTCAGCTCCGTCCCTGAGCCTCCATCTCCCTCCAGCCCAGAGGAGCCTCCAGGGTTATCTTGGGGTCCTCTTAAGCAACCCCCCGACCTACAGAGCTGACACAAAGAGGGATAAATGGATGATTACGTGTGCTATCTCCCCATCCCACCCAGTCCCATCAAGGGAAGCACAGGAGGCTGTCAGCTGCTGGGAGAGGGGAATGTGTACCCACAAACCCTGGACACCCCCAGCTTCAAGCCATGATTGGAGGGATTTCACTGCTCCATCCCATTTCCAAGGCACTCCAAATAAACAATTAAAAATTCTGGTTGCACTGCCAACAAAGCCCAGCCTTCCCCCGATCAGCCAAAAACTTCTCAGGGTAGGAATCTGGGGGGCATGCCCAGCTGGCCTCACAGGCCCTGTCTCTTCTCTTCGTGCAGCCAGAGGAAGTGGCCCAGGAAGCTGCTGAGGAGCCGCTGATTGAGCCCCTGATGGAGCCTGAAGGGGAGAGTTATGAGGAACAGCCCCAGGTGAGGGGTGGGGCTTTGGGCATCCCCAGCTGGAGTGGGAGGTTCCTGGCAGGATAAGTTTGGGCCATTGAGTTTTCAAGCTCCCAGACCCCAGACCCCAGAGATGGCAGCAGGGAGGGAGGACAGATGGAGCCTGTCGCTGGATCTCAGGCACTCCTGCCCAGGAACATCCCAGCCGTCCCCAAATTCTAGGTCTCTCCCCTGCCCAGAGGGAGGGGCGTTCAGTATTCCTCCTGGTGGGCGAAGGGTCTCGGGGAGCGGCCTGGCCACTTGGTCTCCAACCCCTTCCTCTTTTGCTCTTCTCCACTCTACCCCCCATCCCTCTGATGCAGGAGGAGTATCAGGAGTATGAGCCAGAGGCGTAAGGGCCCAGGAAGGCCCCCCACCAGCAGCACAATCCCTTCCCGGTCCCCTGCCCCGCCCCCCCCCCCCCCCGAGCCAGGGCTGTCCTTCTACCCCTTCCCCTCAAAACACGAGATCTTCCTTCGCTCCGAGGCGCCCCCTCCGAGCCCGTGTTTGAGTCTATCTGTCTGTTCTTCCCGCCCGCGTCCAACCCTGGGGCGTGGACAGGGCTGGGGCTGCGGCCAAGGCTGGGAGCCTCGCAGCACGTATGTTGCCCCTTCCGCGCCCCATCCCGTCTGGTGTCTGCGCGGTTGTAGCATGTTCTATGTGTTTTTTAAACGAACAGGAAAGCGACGGCTCCCTTCCACCCCCCCGATAGAGGCTCTCTGAAGGGCCTCCGGGCACCCCCCGCCAAAGCCCTCCAGCGCACTCCCACATCGACCCCAAGAACCTTTTTTTTCTTTTAAACCAAAACCAGGAGCCAGGCTGTGCCATGACCCCTCCCCTAGCCGACCCGGTCCGAGCGCGGGCGTCGTGTGTCGTGATTGTAGCATGGAGGTACCCCACCCTCGTGTGAGCGTGTTCCGGGAGGGCGGGTCCGGCCGCCCCCCTCCCCGCGTGTCCATGAATAAAGCCAATCTGTCTGTAGCAGGCGCCGCACCGGCAGGGTAGGGCAGGGCTGGGCTGGGCGCTGGATGGGGGCGGCCGACAGACTTCCAGGTTACAGCCTGCCTCACTCCACTCTTTGGGGCCCGACACATTCTGCCCAGGTGTAAGACTGACCACCTCGGGCCTCAGCTCCTACCCTCCCCCATGAACGACCTGGATGGACGCGGTACCCCCACCCCTCGCCCCCAGGCTGGGACATGCTGCTGGCAGGGAGGCGGCCTCGGGCTCCACCTACTGGAAAATAAAGCACCTACTGGGCGCGCTGGGAGGAAGGAAGCCCAGTGCAGCCGAGGCGCAGGGCCCACAGGTTCACACCTCAAGTCACTGGCAGCGCAGGAGCATGGATGGCTACGCGCGCGCGGACTTGTGTGCACTTATGCTGGTCCTTGCGCTCCAACCCGAGTGTACGCACCGGACAGGCGCGCACCTGCACTGACGCGCGCAGCACGCTGGCCGACAAGTGCAGAACCAGGCGCGTACTCAAGAGTTGCACGCGCACCGCGAAGCTCTGGGAAAACAGCAGCGTGATCACTGGAAGAAGCTGCTGACCCTAAACTTCCCCCCACCCCCAAGAACACTGACATGCACATACCCCTGCGCATACTGGCCCGCTGCAGAAAAACTCATCCCGGGGGAAAGGAAATGGACAGTTGTCCCCCCCAAAAAAGGCAGAGTTCGGGCAACCAGTGCTCCACCCTTCCCAGAAAAAAGCCTCGGAAAGTTTGCGACCTCGGCTGAGGTGAGCTAGGGTCTGCAGAAATCTGGAAAGCCGGCCCGGAACCTTGCGCAGATCGGTATCTGCACTGCTGCTGCTGCTAAGTCGCTTCAGTCGTGTCCGACTCTGTGTGACCCCATAGACGGCTGCCCACCAGGCTCCTCTGTCCCTGGGATTCTCCAGGCAAGAATACTGGAGTGGGTTGCCATTTCCTTCTCCAGGTATCTGCACTAGAGGGCCCCCAACACCGCTTCAGTGCTGGGAAGTAGGGGCGGAGAAGCCGCGGGGCTTCACAGAGGCCCCGCCCCTATCAGGGCGAAGGCACTGCTCTGATTGGCATAGAACACACCGCGCCGCGTCGAGGCCCCGCCCCAGCCAGGGGTAGACCCCGCCCCCGCCGATGCGGCGCTCCTTGCTCGCTTTCGCCGCAGCAGTAGCTTAACCTGGCTCAGACCCAGGCCACCACCCCTGCCCAAGCGGAAGCCCGGCACCGCCTTGCCACGATAGCCCCTAAACCTCGCCTGATCAAGACACCATCCTTTCTCTGCCAAGTTCGACCTCATTACCGACTCAAACCTTGCTTCGCCCTTGCAGACCTAGGGGCTAGAAGAAGCTTGCTCTATTTATTCAACCCCCAAGTGTTTAGCGCCCCCCTTCTTCCCTGAGTTGTTGGAGACGGTAGGGTGCAGAAGGCCTTGAACGCTGGGGGTCACCAGGGTCACTTGAGTCACTTTGGACTGCAGTGAAGGAGCCTTTACTTCCAGAAGTACAAGGCTGCTGGCAGACGTGTGTGTAGGGAGAACAAACGGGGGTGGGACGTGCGGGGTGGGGCCGGGGGGGGGCGGTCTCTAATTCCCTGACTCAACGTGCGGGTACTAGGATGTCCAGATCATCTTCGTCTGAATTAAGACATTATTTGCAAACCATAGTCTGCAGGGACTGCAGACTCGTGGTCCTTAGGTTGAATTTGGCCTGTAGAGATGTTTAATTTGCTAGCACAAGGTTTAAATATTTCTCATTTGATTCCAGTTGGCGACAGTCCCTTTCCCTCCCTGTTGTGTTCCTCCCATCCACTTCACTCATTTTCATGAACTGCTTTGCCTCTGAGGAATTTGAGTTTGTCACCTCCTCGCCAGCTACTAGCACCTGATCCCCATTTTTAGATACCAAAACCAGGTTCACCATCTGCTTGTGAAGAGCTTTATTCCTCCTTCCTGGGTGCCAAGCCACGCACCTGGTTTACTGAGCTCGATTTTCTGCTCAGAGACCAATGTTCTCATCTGCAGGGGTCACTTTAAATGCATTCCAGACACAAGCCCAGAAGCATCAGCGAAAGATGCCAGCCCCGTGTCAGACCCAAGTCCTGACTGTGAGTGCTTGTGTGGGAACACGCAGCCAGCTCCTGGGTGCCTCCCTCATGACAGGGACAGAGCCATTTCCCCAGTGCCCAGCATTTCCCAGGCATCCAGCACTTGCCTCCATTCATTTCACTTGAAACCATCCTCAAGGATTCCTTGTTATTTGCCCTAATTTACAGTTGAGAGAATGGAGGCCAGAGAGGCAAAGTTACCCGCCCTAGGTCACATCACGAGGAAGTGGCAAAGGCCACATTCAGCCCCAAGCCTGACTCTGAAGCCCCATTCTTTAGAATTTTCCAAAAGGGACTTGCTCTGAGGGGAGACAAACAAAAACCACCACCAACAGGAAAATGTGAAGCAGCAGAGTGGAGATAACAGATGCTCGTGCAGTTTCAGGGAGGCTGCAAGTGAGTGTGTGTGTGTGGTGGAGTTGAGCCGTGTCTGCACACTTACATATAGATGCAGGTATATTTCTGTTCACATGTGAAAAAGGAGGTTGTCCACGTGTTGGGTGCCTTTAGTCATTCAACAGTGTGTGATACTCACCTGCTCTGGTCCTAGAAGTAAGGGGCTACAGGGAACAGCCCTGGGGTCACTGCCCCAGAAGAACTCATGTCCATGGATCAGTGAATACACGGATCGAGACAATTTGGGGTTTTATGAACAACATAAAACAGAGCCATGTGATAGAATGTCACAGTAAGGGTAGTGACCAACATTCAATTGGGTGGATCAGCTCAGGTGTCTGAGAGGCTAAAACCTGAATGAAAAGGAGGTGCCTGGGAAATCTGGGGAGGGCGAGCATTGCAGCACAGGAAGAGCCCACCTGTGTTTGCATGGACATGGGGTGTGAGGTCAGCAAGAATGAGCTCAGCCAGGCCTTCGAGATCCGCGAGTTCGGCCCCACCCTGCCTGACCCACACCTTCCAGTCCTTTGCCGGCTCCTCTCCTTCACCTGGACATCTGCCTGGCACTCTGCCTGTTGAAATCCTTCCTGCCGCTGAGCTTCCCCTATTCCTCCAGCCATAATTGACTTCTCCTTGTCACCCCCATCTCCTCCGCTATGCACACGAAGATCCCCTCCTCACCTGTGTCAGCACTCTGCGGACCACTGCCAGCTGGCTAACCTGAGACTACCGTCTCCCCTGATGAAGGGACAGCGGCTGTTTCCCCATGCCCCACCCTTCACCCATTTCCCTCCCCATCTCCCCGCCCCCACCTCTAGTAATACAGCTCCACTGCTTTCTCTGGAACTTTATTTTTGTTTTCTCCCTTCCCTATTTATAGCTCTCTCCCCTCCGAACCATCCCTGCATCCATCCTGTTGCCTAGAAACCGGCTCTGGGCTGAGGGTGGGGGAAGGCCAGGCTGAGACCAGGCTGGGGGAAGGAAGAGCTGTCACCCACTCCCCCTCTCAGCACCGCCCACAGGTTCCCAGAAGCCCACCCACCTCTCTGCCCAGCACTCTCAGACATTTTTAAAAGATAAAACAAAATGTGAAAAACATCAGCCTTTGTGAAGTCCTTCATGGCTTCTAAAGGGCACGATGCACATGACTGCACGTATGCCTCCCAACACCCTACGGCACTGGAGGCCCAGACCCATCATTTCAGATGAGCAAACTAAGGCTTTGGAAAGCAAAGGTCCTATAGGTCAATTCTTCTCAGCAGAAACTCTATGGCTCTGCACTTGTCATTGTTCAGTTGCTCAGTCGTGTCTGACTCTTTGCGACCCCATGAACTGCAGCACGCCAGGCTTCCCTGTCCTTCACTGTCTTCCAGAGTTTGCTCAAACTCATGTCCATTGAGTTGGTGATGAACCTGTTAAGCTTAGGATATTGGCCTGAAACATGGAAAAGATTTTAAAGCATAAATGATTCTACAATCTATTAATTGCAGAAGGGTAAAGAGAAAAATCTTGTCATGATCCTTACACACCAAGCCACCAGGCATGCCTCCTCCATACACTCCGCATACCCCCTATCTGGCCACACCCCTATGCTACTTCCGATGCCCAGCCATGGCCCCACCATGACCTGCCATGCCCCACATACTCATGCCCCCTCGCCACGCCCAACTGCAGCTCAAGTCCAGCCTTAATGTTTACTTTTCACAGGTTAGACCAAGAAGCCTAAAGTTTGGTTCCTGGCTCTGTCATTTTACCCACTGTGTGACCTTAGAGAGTTCACATAACCTCTCTGAGCTTCAGTCTCCTTAGCTCAAAACTAAGGATACTAATTTCCACTCCTAAGGATGCTATTAGCCCACTCTAGAACTAATAAG